AGCCAGCATGAGAATTCCCCAGCCAGCATGCTGGCTAGGGAATTCTGGGAGTTGAAGTCCACACATCTTCAAGTTGCCAAGGTTAAGAAACACTGATTTACAGGGTCAGATCTCTCTTTTATCTAGTTGTTACATGAAAAACAATTCTTCCAATCTGCAATTTTAGAGTGTATCAGAGTGTCATTTTTACTTCAAATGCGTGTTATTTAAATTTAGTCTGCTATATCATGTAATTTTTCTCAGTGCTACCTACCATTCTTACTATGACTGGGAACAGTTAGGTGCAATAAGGGTTATTTAGCACTAGATGTTCTTGACAACAATTAAAAATAATACAACCTCTCAAATAAATCTAAAAAGATGTTTGATATAGCTATGTATGCCTTTATCCTGCAAAAATTATTAAGCAAAAATAATTATTGTATAAAGAATATGATGGGTGAATAATGGTTGTCATGTATATTTTAGGGTTTAAATAGCAGGAGTTTTAACATTTTAATATACAGTGGTACCTCGGGATACGAACGCCTCTACTAACGAGCTTTTCGGGTTACGACCAGCTCCAGCCGCAAAAATTTACCTCGATGTGCGAACTCCGCCTCGGGGTACGGTCATTTTTCCACCCTGACACGTGGTCCACGGCCGTTCTCCTGTCGCGTGGTGCCACGCCGTGCCCAGCCGTTCTCCCGCCGCGCCACGCGGCACCCGGCCGTTCTCGCGCCGCATCCGGCTGTTCTCCCGCCACGCTGCACCCGGCCTTTTTCGCGACGCGCCATGCCCGACCGTTCTCCCGCCCCTGATGCGTGGTCCGCGGACGCCAGAACGGATTAACGGTAATTACATTGAACCCTATGGGGAAATTTGCGTCGGGTTGCGACCAACTCGGGATACGCCCAGAGTCACAGAACGCATTAAGTTCATATCCCGAGGTACCACTGTATTGTGCATTGGTTTAGAATATTTTTGTTTTTTAAATGTGATCTTTAATGATTTCAGCAGATGTTAGGAATAGAAAATGCTTTGTACTGTATTCGTTTTAGTAAAATCAAATTTGAGTATGTATAATTATTTGTTAATTTTATATGCAGCCCTACTCCCACTGACTGAGTGGTTACAAATAAAAACAAGATAGACAAAAAAGAAGAGTAAATATGGCAAGGATGACAAAAGAAACAAACTTATACAATTCAAAGGGGGCTTTTCTCACTCCCGCCAAAGGCTTAGGTGAAGATAATAATAAATGCATTTCATGAACTGTGGTTTGAAGTTGCCTTCTTTGAAATATAGCTCAAAACTGAAGTGTAAGTCAGATAAGAGAAAACCTGGGAAATATAGTGTTACTTATACCTACATTTGGGGAGTATGTGGAATAGTAAAGAAATTATTAAAGGACAATGTTTTAGAAACCTTATATACTAATTGTTGCTGAAATTGAAGAATATCAGACCTCTCAATCATTAAAAGAAAGATGTTCCAATCTATAAATCAGATATACCAAGATCAGTCTGTCTGTCATTTACATGGGACACTAGGTGTAAGTGTGTAGCCTTAGGGAACTTCTGCTTTCATAAACACAGATATTCTCTCTCTTTTTATTTCATGGACACATCTAGTACACTTCTAGTATACTTATCAATATAAATGGGAATTTGAGTCAAGGATTGGCTCAATTCTGAAGTAGAATTTTGAAGTAGAAATTAATTTGCTCTTTAAATAATTAACTATTGAACAATTAAGAAATTATTTTGAGAGTATGAGGTATTCTCTACATGATAAACCCAGAAATATAACCAGAGGAAAAGAAGGGAGAAACAATACAGTTACTGTATTAAAAATATTCATGAAAATGTAGTACAGGTCGTCCTTGCTTAATGACTGCCCTGTTTAGCAAGTGTTTGAAGTTGTGATGGTGCTGAAAAAGTAACTTTACAACCAGTCCTTGCACTTATGACCATTGCAGCGTCCCCACAGATACATGATCGAGATTCAGGTGCTTCTCAGCTGGCAGGCATTTACAACTGTTGCAGCATCCCGTGGTCATGTGATCACCATTTGTGTGCTTCACAGCCAGCTTCCAAGAAGCAAAGTCAATGAAGAAGCTGGCAGTAAAATCACAAGTCGTGGTCACGTGATGTCATGCTTAACAACTACAGGTGATTCGCTTATTGACAATTTAAAAAATTGGAACTGCTCATGGAGAAAGACCAAGAAGTGGGAGACAAAAATGGAACACACAGATACAGGCATTACTGAAGTTTCTTCTCATAACCCTAGTTTATGATCCAAACCTCACGTCGGTGAACCTGAGGTACTCTATTACATTTTCTAAAGATTATGCAGTGTTGTAAGGATACCTGATCAGACTAGGAAGTGCTACAAAGGAAAATCAGTCCTTGAGAACAACCTTGTACTACTGTGAGCATGTTGGACATGTTTTCTAAAAAAAAACTTCCCTAAATTGCAGCACTGAAATGAATTAAGCTATACTGTGATGTAAGTACCAATGCCTTCCCAGATGCAAAGAAGATTTTCAATAATTTCACAAGTTCATCAAATGTTTTGATGGAGTAGGAGCAGTGAGTAGTCTTATGGCAGCAAATGTCTGTGCCTCACAGACAATCAAAATACTGTTTATTTGGCTTAAGGCTATTTATTTTGTTTGCTTCATAATAAAAGCCTCTCTGTATATCCATCACTGGAAGCAAGCTGACTAATATTAAATTCTTCAATATGTCAAAAAGCACCCATTTTAAAAATATAACACCCAGATTCTGCTCAGATTTCCAATTAAATATTATTTCTGTCTGCTTACCAAAGAGAGCGCTTGAATACCAAACCAACTTCCTGACAGTTTTCAGCTCTCAGTAAATGTCACATTTGTCACCAAAATGCTGTGTTGAAGAAGGAAGAATGGAAATAACACACAGAGGCCCAGACATAGCTATTCTAAACTCCTAAGACCTGGATCAAACACAGCCCACAGCTAAAGCGCTCTTAAACTATGTGAACTGCAGTGGCCAAAAGCTATTACTAACGCAGCATCCTGTAGATACTTAACACTGTGCAAACTCTTTTTCTTAATGCCTAAACTGTCAAAGTCAATGTAAACTATTTAAGGGCTTATGGAGAGCTTGCCTCCTTGAGATTTAAATTGTTCTTCCCAACTCCTTCAAATACTGGCAACTTAGGAAGAATGTCTTCCAGAAGGAAGAATGTCTGGAGAGGCATGGGTTCTTTCTATTTTATGTGGCAGGGCTTTTTTTCTTTTTTGAAGCAAAACCTTGTTGCTTCAGTCCTAAGAATAAACCAGCCTGGTGGAGTTCAAATTCTAGTGGCCACCTGGACACATCCATGACATGTTCTTAGCAGGAACATCTACCAGGTATTTTTAATATCATTTTGTCTGTCTCTCTGTCCAGCTCTTGAGAGACAGCAACAGAATGGAAGTAGAAAAGTCCACTCAGAGATAGAGGTGACAGGGCATGGCCAGATTGGCGAAATGAGCACCTTAGTAGGTACATTCCCATTTGGTCACCAGTGTCATCTCCAGTGTAATGGATGGCAAAATAACAGATGATATACATTTTGAGGCTGCTGCTGCTGCTGCTGCTGCTGCTGCTGCTGCTGCTTAGTGTCAAAATAACGAGAAATCAGTACTTTCCAGGACAGCTAATGATGAGAGCCAGTTTGGTCTAGTGGTTAAGGCATCAGGCTAGAAGGGAGACTGTGAGTTCTAATCCTGCTTTAGGCATGAAGCCAGCTGGGTGACTTTGGGCCAATCACTCTCACTGAGCACTAGGAAGGAGGCAAGGGTGAACCACATTGCCAAGAAAATTGTAGGGACTTGTCCAAGCTGTTGGCAGGGGTCAAGATTGACTTGAAGGCGCACACACACACATGTATGCAGCTAATTATGGCTTAGTCCAATTTTACTCATAGGCTGGGGATGAGATGA